TCTCACGTGCTAGTCACCCACTGCTTGCCATACGGAGGGTTTGATGTCCCCAGCAGCGCTCAGCAATCATTATTCTCTTTGTTTAAATCAAAGTATTAAGCATGTAGCAGCAGAGCAGGAGAACTGACTGTGGGACAATAGGTCTTTGTGGTAAGAATCAGGTTCACAATGTTCCCACCCACTTCCAACACTTACATCCTCCCAGGTTGGGTATTTATTTATTTATGCAACACAAACAGTATTCTATTGCTGCTGTCAGCTAGATAGTAGACCCCTTGAATCAATTGCTGATTTGTGAGTAATGCTTACATAAATCTCATGGAGTCAATAGGTCTGCTTTATTTGGGGCTAGCAATAGGATACTGACCATATTTTGTAGGGCTAAGGCTAATGACTTTGAACTCAGACTTTGGATACCCTTTTACATACAGAGTTAGGAAGGGTGTAAAGTTAGGTTTCTTTAAAACTGTGCCCCCCACAGTCTCTGGCGCTCAGCAAAACTGCTTAGCAAGTAGAGTGCTTCAGCATTTGCCTTAAAGCTGTGCATTGTGTTACAGTTGCCTAATCTTGATCCAGCAGCAGGGTGGATGACGTCTGCGTAGCAAGCTGGGCATCAGAGATAACGTAATAGAACACAGTGCTCTGCTGCTAGTAGAGGAGACCCAAAGGAACTATTGTATGTCTGCTTAGTAATATTTGAGAGGTTGGTAAGGTACCTCCTTTACAGACAGCAAACATTGTGACTGCTCAACAGCTTTGTTGGCATGCAGTTGTTAAATGTGCTTATAGGATGGTACATGGAAGATCCGTTTTATAAGGTGCAACAAAACAGGGAAGTAGAATCCCATTGGATCACACCGAAAACGTTGGGTGGGTTCTCCTTTAAAGCAACCCTTTTGTGCACACATTCTAAGGCACATTTATACAGTCCCCATTGCTCCAGCCTGGCTTGAAAAAGAGATTGCACCTAGATCAGCCCGGCCACTGAACCTAAAATGATCCAGATGACCATGGAGCAGGACTCGTCTGGTGTGTGATTTCCTGTATGTCAGCTGGTTGCTGAAAAATAGACGAAACCAGGCCATGCCAGAAGCAGTCCAAAACAAGACCTGTATCCCCATCTGATCACACCCATAGTCAGAGGAGGTTTCAGTGTGGGAAATGTTCTGATGCATCAAAGTCATTCGCTTCAATGATCGATCTGTTTCAGAGATCTGTGTGGCTGGTGACTATCCAGTGATCTGCCACAGGTATGCTGTATTTAAACTGCAAGCCCCAGATTAATACCTCACAACTAGAAGATTTTGTTGTTTTGGAAGACAAAGGTACACTCCTGCAGCCGTGGATGTTGACTGCCTTTTGGATGGTCCATTAATATAGCAGGATCCTACATGGTTTTCTCCATGGCCAAGCTGATCAGCTGTATTGTATGTTCAGGCTAGAGAGAACCCCATTTGACTGCTGCATACAGAGTGCTGGTAACATGGTTTTCTCCATGGCCAAGCTGATCATCTGTATTGTATGTTCAGGCTAGAGGGAACCCCATTTGACTGCTGCATACATACTGCTGGTATACAAGGTAAAGGTAAAGGTTCCCCTTGACAATTTTTGTCCAGTCATGTCCGACTCTAGGGGGCGGTGCTCATCCCCGTTTCCAAGCCATAGAGCCAGCGTTTGTCCGAAGACAATCTTCCATGGTCACATGGCCAGTGCGCTAGGTTGGCGGGAGCTGGGACAAGCGACGGGAGCTCACTCCGTCGCGTGGATTCGATCTTACGACTGCTGGTCTTCTGACCCTGCAGCACAGGCTTCTGCGGTTTAGCCCGCAGCGCCACCATGTCCCGGTATACAAGGTAGCAGTGGGTAATAGAATTGTCAGTGGAGATTGTTGGGAAATAGAAGTACACCATGGGAGAGGTGTGTGTGTAGGGGGAAGGAATATTTGCGTGTGTATGCATGTACATGAATGTAGCACCTCCAGCTCTAGCTGAAACCAGGTGCAGTTCTCAAGACTGAAAAAGTTGCTCATCCATGGCACTTATTCCAAGGTGCAAACCTAAAGACTGAAAAAGTTGCTCATCCATGGCACCTATTCCCAGTGGTCCTTTTTGTACACATTCTAAGGCACACTTATGTCTGATATTTAATAAAGTACTTGTTAGAACTCAAGAGACTAATAAAAGCCAACAGAGATGAGTCCTGTAGTCTTAAAACTGCTTTTGAAATCTAAAGAGAACTCAAGAGACTAATAAAAGCCAACAGAAATGAGTAGCCTTAAAACTGCTTTTGAAATCTAAAGGTTTTAATAGCAGTCTACAAAGGTTACAGTGCTGTCCTGGATTTGCACACTCAGTCACACACACTTCTCTTTGGATAAAACATGCACATTTTGGATCCTTGCCTGAATGCAGTGTTTCTAATGCAATTAAACGTGACTGTACAGGCTGGTATAGTTCATGAATTGCAGAAAAGAAGTAAACATTATTTTGTCGTCCCCCCCACACACCCTTGGTATTGTGTTCTAAAGCAATGCCATAAACAGGGTGGTCATTCCATATATAGTATTTAAACTGTATAGCTGGTCTGTTGTAGGGTTATAATTTGATGTACCATGTAAGGTGTGGGACAGAAAATAATCATGGTGGACCAGAAACAGAGTTGACGTAGAATGAACTGTGCATCTTAGATAACCTTGGGAGATGAGGGGTGGTGTTTTTTTCCTCTCCTCAGAATTACAGGCACGGAGTAGGCCAAGATAAGTGTCCTGTTGTTGGTGGCTTTTGGCAAGCTGTAGTCATCTACAGTCATGAAATAAAACCATTCTTCCATGTTATGCAGCCCTTGTAATGCTAACTACAGCAAAGTGCAGAAGGACTCTGTGTACCTGAAATACACTATATAAATGCTTTAAGCAGTATAAATGCTCAGTATAGTGATTGTTGCAGTAGAATAGATGGTTGATTAATTTCTTTGCCAGAAGTGGTTTAAAATGGATGTAGATAGTTCTTTTCTGTTCTAAGCAAAGGCAGGAGGTGTTTATTGTGCTTTCAGATTCCAAATCAACCATACTAAAATAAATGTTGATATCATCCCTATGTTTCTGAACATAGGCAACCTTGTAGGCTATCCTCACCATCATGTCTTAATTCCAAGGTCTTCCTGTTGGAGCTGGCATTCAAGAAAAAGAGCATCTTGATTCAGGAAGTGTAGCAGACTCTAGTTGTTTCTTTGATGGTGGTGTGTGCTGCTGGGGTGATATATTTGGGTTTTTGAGGCATTTGGTGTGTGAGAGGTACAAGCTGGGTAACCTGGTGATGGGGTGATGTGTTACTTCTTGCCTTAGGAAGTAGCTAAATCCAGGCTCCTTCTGTCTTCTGGACTTCTGTCTTAGTGCCTTAGGCTGCATCTTTATAAGCTGAGTAAATGCTGGTAGACTCAGTAGTTTATGTGAGTGAATGGATGAACAGTGTCTGATTTATTTAACTTCATTTAATTTATTTTGTAATGAATTTAACTTAAGAAATAAGTGCTAACTATTGAACTGAAAGTAAAATATTCTTAAGGAGTAATTAATTCCAAGTAGGTAATGGTAGGTATTTAGGTTAATAGTTAATAAATTTATTTTAATTAAAGATAAAATGGATGTTATATATTTTCTAAGAATATTCATATTTAATTGGCTACAGAATCCAAGATATAAGAACATTTCAGAGAGTTGTTAAACATTGTGCTTTATTCATTTAATTTATATCCCAGCTTCTCTCAATACTTGGACGCAAAGTGGTCACAGTCTTCTGCTTTGTGTTGAATTATATGTTGTAATTCTGCTCATGGGGTCACGAAGAGTCGGATACGACTTAATGACTAAACAACAAAAATTCTGCTTAAATTGCACCAGCTATATATAATTATGACTGTATGTGTCTATATTATCTTTAATTAGCATATGAAATTATACAAAAACGTTTTCCTTTTTAGTAGTCAATGTCCTTCATGTCTTCCATTTTGGGTATGATATCTGTCCTTCATTTTATTGATACAGCAGTGCAATTTCTACAAAGCATTTATGAATGTACAATATACTTTTATATACAGTATATGTATTTAAGTGGGATACCCAGTGTGGCGTAGTGGACAGAGTGACAGACTAAAACTCAGGAGGCCTGGGTTCAAATCCCCAGTCAGCCACGGAAACTCACTGAGGGGTGGAACTGGTAAACCATTCCTTAAGTATCTCACTTATCTTGTAAGCTCTATTAGGGTTACTAGAAATTGGTTCTGATTTGATGGCACTTAACAACAAGAGTGTATGATTTTCCATGTTTAGAAACACAGATTTCATCCCAGCATGCAGACGTGTATGTAGTGGTGATAGTTCAATGGTACAGTGCATGTTTTATGTGCAGAAGGTCCCAAACTGAATCCCTTTGATCTCCAGTTAAGGTTGCAAAGGATCCTTCTCTAAAATTTTGGAAAGGCACTCCCAATCAGTTTTGACAATACTGAGCTTGATAGACCTATGGTCTGACTCAGTACAAGGTAACTTCTTATGTTGTTAGGACTGAGACATATTAAAGCATTTTAGATATAAGGGATACACAATAATCAGTTGACAGGTGAATGTTCTCTGAATCTGTTGCATGTGTGTGTTAATTTCAGGTGCCTGCTACATTCCTTATGACCAGAATGCCTGGAAGTAGGCAGAAAATGACCAACCCTAGTGTTCTAACCCTCATCTTTGGGTATTTAATTCATTAGAATTAAGATTTATTTATTTAGAGAGCAATCTTTTAGCTCATCAAAGACAACTTAGGTGGTGTACTTTCCACCCTTTTAAATCCGAACATTTTTTAAATAATGTGAATAATGTCTTAAAAAGACAAATAAGAAAATCCAGGTAGGTTCTTGTGATTACTTTCTTATATGACAATTCCTTTTTCTCTCTCTGACTGCTTGGAGTATATTTTAATGAACAACTTTTCTGCTGCACTGCATTCTAGGACCTTCTCGCTGGAAGGAAATTTTTCCCATTGCTAATGGAGACCGTCAATCTCCCATTGATATCCAAACTCAGCAGACCAAATATGACCCCGCTCTTCGTCCTCTCTACCCTAACTACGACCCTACTTCTGCTAAAGTCATCCTCAACAATGGACACTCTACCAGTGTGGAATTTGATGACACTGAAAATAAATCAGGTTTGTTTCCTAGCTGATTTCATTCTGTTTCTCTGCAACCTTTTCCTAAGGACAGTTTTCAGTTTTAACCTGAAGGTGACCGTTCTATGAAACATAACACTACTAGTTTCCAGAAAAGATCCATTGTATTTTTCCTTTGGTATGTTGCAGTTTAAGATGACATTAATTCTCACTTGTGCCTGTCTGACGAAGCTTGAGTTTAGATGTGCTGTGTGCATCTTGCTCGAATATGATTCTGTCTCATCTACTGTCTCATCTACTGTCTCATCAGCTGAAGGTTGCCCAAGAAAGCATACTTAAAAGCTGTAAAATTCATTTGCCAAAATCACAGCCTTCTCTCATTCTCCAGCACAGTTGGAGTCTTTGTCCATTTGTAGGTCTCATTCCATGGGAACAGGTCAAATTTCTCATCTCCTTTTTGTCTGTAGTCACTCAGTTATGTCCCAGCCCTAAGCTCACTTTCCCAAAATCAGATGATAAAGCAGGGGAAACTGAAATGGTAAGTGAAGCGATTGCAATTCTTCCTCCCCACCTCCACCAACAAAGTTCCCAATAAGCAAGATTTTCTACATTTTTGTGGCTGTTGAATTTAGTAAGGAGAGATCTCTTTACCCATGAAAAATACATGTGTGCAAAGAACCTAACATTATTTTGCTAAATCAAATCCAAAAATCCATATACTCAGGCACAAACTAGCAGAGTTTATCATGACAGCATCCTGAATGCTACAAATTTTATGATACATAAAGGAATACTTTGATATAAATAGGGCTTATTACAATTACTTTTCAGTGGCTATTACCAGTACTAACGCTGGTCTTTTAGGAAATACAGATTTTTCTCTGTTTTAGAAGATGCTGAGCACATCAGCAGCAGTGGCAAATTTCCACTGATTAAATGCTTCCATTGGCCTTGCATTTTGTATGAATTGCATGCACCCCAAAATCGTCTTTAATCATCTAGCAATTTGCACCACAGGATTTCAGCCCAATGATTTATCTTTATACCGTGCATTATTGTATTAGCATCTGTCACAACTTCACCCATCCTGGCTCATCCCACTTGGTCATATTTGTTTTCCTAAACTACAGAAGATCTTTTTGTGAGAGAACTTGATTGATTTGCTTAATGTGAAAAGCATTGGTGCTAAAAGTTCTTGCCTAAATTTGAAAGCTAGTTAAACTGGAGAATACAAACTGTCTGCTGAGGTTCTCAAGGCAGCACATTATTTCCTGAAATGGTGGGATGGTCAGCTTCTTAGGGTCTATGAGCTGTTTCTCCCCTTCCCTAAACTTTTGTGGGCTGCACCATCATGACAGTCCAACTGCCCCCACTTCCCAGTGAGGCGAGAGAGAGAGAGATGATTCCTAAAAATCACAGATTGTCCTCCTGAGAATTTCTCTAAATCTGATTCCTCCACCCCCGGCCTGTTTTACGCCAGAAAAGCTTTCTTCTAGAAAAAGGAAATGAATATCTGGTGCATAAAGGGTTAAGGCTGATGTTTCTTTTAGTGATTCTTCCACATATAGTACATTTTAGCTCTCAAGCAATTTCTCCAAAGTTTTCAGCAATTCAGTTACTTTATTTTATATATTTTTTCTCTTTATAGTGCTGAGAGGGGGTCCGCTCACTGGAAGCTACAGGCTGCGGCAAGTTCATTTCCATTGGGGGCCCAGTGATGACTTAGGCTCTGAGCATGCGGTGGATGGAACAAAATTTGCTGGAGAGGTAAAGTATTCCACTGAATTGTATAGAAGTAATTGTTAACATCTTCTTTTTGGCTGTGTTCATCAGACCTGTTTGGGTTTTCCCCTCCCCCCAAAAAGCTGATGTGATTCCAGCAATGAAATTATGCTATGTTTACAGTTGTAAAGCTCATAATGATACCTTAGCACTGCAAAAAGCAAAAAGAGTACAAGTTGGTTTAATTTGGTGTCACCTGATAATGTGTCAATACACAGTTTACTTGGAGAAAGATCGCGTTTAATGGACTATGGTGAACTTGACTATCCAGACATACTGAGTGGGTTGATGCTCTTTCTTATTCTTCTAGTTTAATCTTGTAGAATATTTGAGTAGAGTGGGGCAACTTCAATGCAAGACAATTTTCTGTGACTGTGGAGAAACTTACATGCGTGCAATTTATGCCCCACCATGTGCACAAAAGAAGATCTAGCAAATGGCTGAGACAACACTATTGAAGTAGTCTGCTTCTGGTCAAAATAGTCTTATTATCTTAACCTTTTAATTTCTTCTTAATTTTACCTATATTTCATATACATCCATAATTTTAAGTTGTGCACCGCTCTGATACAAATAAAGAAAAAGAAAGATCTTGCAGTTTTGAGATTTTAAATCAACTTGATCTTTAAATTTCCATTTTGCCTTGCACCTTAATTGTAGGTATTCTTTCTAAGAATAAATCTCACTAGATGTTGCTGGATGGCAGGGATGGAGAAGGCGTGGCCCTCCAGATCATGCTGGACTAAGATACCCAACATCCTTGGCTGGCTGGGGCTGATGGGATTTGAAGTACCAACAACTGCTGGAGAGTCACATCTTCTGTACCTCTGCTTCACCCCAAGATCCAAATAATGTATGTTTGTCTGGATCAAAACAGTCTTTGACAGGAGTTTTCAGCGTTGACATAGAATATCAAAAATTCTAATTTAAATTCACAAAATGCCATTTACACAAAAATGTCAAAATGTTCTTTCCCTGTCACTTTGTTTTCAAATTTTAAGTGGCTTCCAATTGAATAATTTTTTTGATGAGGGGGACTTTTTGGTGTCTTTCTGTTGATGGAATGGAATAGTATTTTGAAATTGAGAGTTATTCTGAGATGGAAAATGTGCTTGCTTGTAATGCAAGTGCTGAGGACTGAGAAAGAAGCCATTTCTTGTCTAAATAGAGAAAGCTATAAACATGTGGAGTGGTTAAAATCAGTGGGGAAAATCAGTTTTTGGGGGAAATTGATTTTTGCAGTGTTTAAAGACTTATGTTTTCCACAGGAACGAGGTGAGATGGAATATAACGAATTAATAAGAGGTGCTTAGAAAACAATATGTTCCCAAAAAAGTTCCATCTAAGAAACCAAACTGAAAGAGACAATATCTAGGATTTTTTTAGCCAGTCTAAAAAAGTTTCCCACAGCTGGTTTTAAACATCTTCAAGAAAAATATTTTTAAATTTTTTTTGAAAGAGTTAAGAGAGAGAGAATAAAGAGAGAGAGAGAGAGAGAGAGAGAGAGAGAGAGAGAGAGAGAGAAACAGACAGGATGATGAATGTAGACAGACCTGCCAAGGATCAGAAGCTAGGTCGCAATTTTCAGCGTAGTTCTGTGATGAAAAAGGCTCTTTGTCTCAAAAATGCACCTCTGCCAAATTGGCATATGCAAGAAGAAAGAGCTACTTGGCAAGCCTACGAAGACAACATGGCTCCCCCAGCAGACGTCCTCCACAGGCCATTGGATCCAAGATCCCATTAAGCTGGGGCGGCCTATCCACTGGAACCAGGTCTCTCCATCAGTGCCGATGATGAAGATGATGATGATGATGATGAGGCATAAAAGAAACAGGCCTTATTTCTCCAACAAGCCTTGGTGCAACAGCGGTGGTAAGACAAGATACATACATCCTTTAAAAGAGAAGTCACAAGCCACTGGGAATGGGCCTCCCCCAGAGTGTTTCACATTTTCCTCATGTCCTTTCTCGTTTATTGTTTTCAAATAATTCACAATAAAATCCACTCCTGCCAAAAGCATTTGTTTTCCTTTCTCTAACATTCATTATATCTTAAAAGTTACACAGTACACTTTAAGTTTCCGAATGCAGAATGACTGAATGAATTGACCAGTCAGGACTCATCTATCTTTGCACTTACATAGAACCTTTCCTGCAAGGACTTTTAAGCCCTCAGTTCAGCGCGTATAATGGGAGGATTCCTGTTGAAAGGAAGACGGGGGTGGGACCACAGCCTAATGGGAGGGACTGGGCCAAAGATGGATTCTTTGTTTGTTTGTTGTTTTAAATGTGGCCAACCCTAGGACTGGCTAGAATGGATCTTCAGAGCTTTGGACCAACGTGCATGGAGCTTCCAAAGGATTTCATTGACATCAAGATGGCTTTGGGCTGCTTGTTAAAGAAAAGCTAAACTAGCCCCCGCAAACTCCCTTCAGATGTTCGCGTTGTCTACCTTCAGTAAAATGGTAATTGATAGTACTTGTTATCTTGCTTTTCAGCTTCACGTGGTCCATTGGAATGCAGATAAATATTCCACTTTTGTTGAGGCTGCTCGCCAGCCAGATGGACTGGCAGTCTTGGCTGTTTTCTTAAAGGTAAGAAAAAGTATATTCCCCATTCCTTGTGTAGTGAAGGGTCCATTCCAAGACATTTTGTTACCTGAGGAAAAGCACAGGTTGATGCCACAAACTCCAGTTCCACAGAAACAAACTCAACTGATGGTTGATTTTACTTCAACACTAGTGATGGGCAGAATCTCCCACACTACTTGAGACAGTATGCTAGAATTAGAAGAGTCAGGATAGGTCATGTGGCATGTGCCACACTGCCCCAACAGAAGGGAGGTGCTAAGAAGCTTGAAAGGAATTTGGGACACTGTCAGTGGTTGTCTTGCTTTGCCTATTAATACGCTGATTTTGTTACGGTGAGAAGTTTTGGGCCAAACTATGGTTTAACATGTCATTTCCATGCTTGCTTGTTAACCAAATGTATCCATTTTTTTCATAAATTAAAAATGTCAAAGTGCCTATAGAATGTTTTAGCATCTGTTCTCCAGTGAGCTGTCAGAAGACTTCTCTTTACGAGTCTACATTCTAAAATAAACCCTGTAAGAATTCACTGTGCAGTTTTATGTGTATCTACTCAGAAGTAAGAATCATTGAAGTAAGGGTGACTTACTTCCAGTTGTGTACGTAGACATAGGATTATTTCCACAGGAGGGGCCTAGTGCTGTCACAATTATGAAATAACCTGTCCTTAGGTCTTAATTGCTAGCAGTACCTGTGCACATTTTCCAGAAACATAATGTTTTCCCATTGATTCCAGTAAATTTAATTTACATTGTTCATAATGGAGTGTTATTTTAAAAGTGGTTCCTTGTGTGCAGATGTTCACATGGGGGTATATATCCTTATTTTTATATGATATTTAGCTCTCCTGTGCTACGTGCAGTATTGTGATGAGAAACAATATAATACATTTTAACACTAATTAAAATGCATTTAAAATCTGAGCAAGGTAAATCACTTGACTTTTTTGTATTTAGTTAGGTGAATGCAATTCGCAGCTGAAGACAATCACAGACCATTTGGATACCATTAAAGTTAAGGTAAGATAATTCTAAATGTATGCCTACATCCTATTCCTAATCCCAACTAGAGCCAGAGCCATTGAATCCAATGTTGAATGGCAATTCAGCATTTATACAAACTTCCATTGCTTCAAAAGATTTTCACTGGTTCGCACTAACAGTTGGGTTTAAGCCTAAACATTTTTAGTGCCCATAATCCAGGACATACTTATGACTCATGAGTTACAAGTATGAAGACATCTGGAAGTTCCCCACCCTATTACTAATGTCATGTTTTTTAGGTACAGGAGGAAGACCTATGTGTGCTTTTTCCTGTATCCCAAAGATCCGTGTTCTCGACTGCATGGATCAAGTTGCATGAATGAAGTCCTGGGTGTTACACGAACATGCGACTTGTGGATCAGGCTGCTAAATCTGCATGTTCGTTTTCCCTCTCTTCTACAAACTGCTTTAACATTCAACTTTTCATGATAGTTGTTATGAAGAGATAAGACAGCCTTGTTTACTTAGCAGTTGCAAAGGGTTAGCGCTAAATCAGATGCCTAGCTTCAGAACACACTCTGGCTGCAGCAGCAAATGAACTTGTTCATATGATGATGATCTTAGAACTGCAGAAGTCAAAGGGACCCTATGGATCATTGAATCCAGCCCCTGTCAAGGAGGCACATTGGAGAATTGAATTTCCAACCCTCTGCTCCATAGTCAGATACATAAATCACTGAGCTATCCAGTGATGTCCAAGCAGCACTTTATATGGGCTTGGCCATAAGTATTTGGCATCAATAGCAGAGAAGGAAGATATTTTTTTTCTATCTCTGGGAGCATTTGTGAGTTCCTTTTCTCTCTCTTTCTTTCTTTTCTCCTTTAGGGTAAACAGCGCAGGTTCACCAACTTTGATCCTTCTTGTCTGCTGCCTCACTCTCTGGACTACTGGACGTACCTTGGCTCCCTCACTGTTCCTCCTCTTCTTGAAAGTGTCATCTGGATTGTACTTCGGGAGCCTATAAATGTTTGCTCTGAACAGGTATGCTTACCATGGCCATGTCAAATCTGTGAATCATAGAGTTGGAGGACACCTTTAGTGTAACCTTCTGTTTGTGTTTTTAAAATTTGAAATCAGACATTTAAGTCTGTGTTCTGACATTGAGAGAATAACAGCTGCAAAAGCCCAGCAATACTGAAACTTTAGGCCTAGCTTGATCTCTTCTTCTGTTCTGTCTAGCCAGAACTGCGACTGTCATAAAAATCCAAGTGTAGTTTGAATAGAGTCAGGGTATCTTAAAGTTGCAGTGCAATTTTGGAATAGTTCCCAACTTTAGGTTGACCTTTACAAATGTTCATGGTATAGTTGATGCTTCATGCTACCAAAGTGGAGGTTCAGTATACTTCTTACAATATTGAATATAAGGGAGTAGACATGGGATATTTGTATTCGAATTCCTGGGGATACAAATATTGGTAGCACAGGTGCCTGGGAAAACCAGACCCTCCCCACCCCCCAGAACTTGCTGCTCGCCAAGGAGAAGGCATAGTTCTCACCATGCCAATCTGGGAAGTAGCCCAGCCAGCACTTCCACACCTCCCTGTATAGCCGACCACTCAACAGCTGAGTGGAGAAAGTCATCATCCCACCTCCTCACCAGAGTTGGGAGGGTCTGGTTATCCCAGGCACCTGTGCTTCCAATATTCATATTTGTATCCCTGGGGATATGAATAAGAATATCCCATATCCAAAAGGGAGCCATGTTTTGCAAAATGAGTCTGTGTTGGAATTCTGTTACATTAATTGTGAGCGTGCAATGAGTTTTTCCATCAGTGCTAATTTCCGTACTCTGGATTCCCAAGCATTTGTTAAAATGTTTACAGCCTCTTTCCAAGATTGAGCAATTGTTTGTCTAGCTGCTTCACATAGAAACGTCATTAATTCCTTGTGATGTAATAACGTAATAGTCTCTGAATGCAGAGACTACGCAGTAAGACCATTTCTTGGCTTCCTCCAAGGAACACAAGGCAGCATAATTGGTTGGCTTTTGTTTGTTGTTATGGGCTGTCAAGTTGCCTCCGACTCATGGCGACCCTATGAAATACCCTGTCCTCAACGGCCTTCTTCAGCTCTTCTGGGTTTTCTTTCATGTTCATTAACACCGCGACAGAACCAGAGGGACCGAGGTTCTTTGCCTCTGGTTATAATACAAAAATTCCTCCTCCTCGCAGAAGCCTGGGGGTTGTCTTTACTTTTTTGTTTCTTTACTGAATCTTCTGTGTCTCATCCACAGCTAGCCAAGTTTCGCAACCTCCTTTGCACCGGGGAGGGAGAGGCTGCCTTCTGCCTGCTGAAAAACTTCAGGCCACCACAGCCTTTAAGAGGCCGGGAAGTGAGAAGAAATTAAAGAAGACGGAAAGGAAGGATAATTCACAGCCATAATTGAGCTCATTTAGGGATTTAAATGTAATACCTTATTATTAAATACAATACTTTATTTTTAAAAAAGATAGGAACATTCTAGTGAGTACATAGTCCAATCAGAATTAAGCATTTTCAGTCCTAAGAGTTTTGATGTGATGATTTAATGACACAGTGAACTCCCCCAGGGAATCCCAGTGGGTTGTCAAAAGCTTAAGGTTTTTCTGCTGTGTCCTGCTAATTGCTGGTAGAGAAATTCATCTTTTTTGCTCAGTTATGGGCTTCAGTTGTTTTGATTTCTCTCATGCACATTTTAATCATGCAAAATAAATTGGATTTAATATGAAGAGCAAAATTGGTAAGTTAGGTATTGTTGCACTGTATTGTGTTTAGGATAGAGCAAACTGTAGAGTAGGTGTTCGTAATGGTAGCAGTTTAGTTAATGTCATGTTTTCTGTCCTGAATGACCCTCCTTGAATGCATTACAGAGTGCGTTAACATTGTCTTACTAAATTAGATACAGTGGTGCCTCGCATAATGAGCGCACCGTTTAACGACAAATTTGCATAGGGATCCGTTTTTTGGGATCGCTAATGCGATCGCATACCGATGCTTTCTATGGCCGAAAATTGCTTTGCGATGATCAGTAAGCGTTTCGCTTACCGATTTTTGCATAGCGATTTTTAAAAAACAGCTGATCGGTGGTTCCAAAATGGCCGCCGGACGCCCAGCGTTTTTGCGCCCTGCCCTTGCTTACCAAGGGTGCGAAAATGGCAGCCGGATTGGGAAACATCGCAGAACGGTGAGTTTTGGGCTTCATTGGGTTTTTCCGTTGCGTATAGCGATGTTTCCTCATAGCGATGCGGGGCACCACTGTATTAGTTATGGTATCTTAACTCATTGGAGGGAAGATGCACAAGTTTGCCAAGAGGTAACATCTAGATCGTGAATACAATTCAGTTGTAAGTGTAGACGATGAGATTGTTAAACACCTATCTCAAAGTCTGTCTTTCCCCCAAAGTTCTTGTAGTGAGGACATACTTTGCTCCTTCAGTGGCTTGAAATGGAACCCGGACAGTTTGACAACAGCAAACAAACAAACAAACAAACAAACAAACAAAAGGAACAGTGAATTCTGTAGAAGATATTTGCATCAGGTCGTAGCTGCATTCTCCTGGTGGAAGATATTTAGCTGATTTGGGCAGAAGCAAGACCTAGAGCTGATGGGAGAAAGAGGGAGATGTTTAGGTGCCACCAACCTTCATACTGTGGATTGTAGAATATTAATATTTTCTCCCCCCTCCCTCAAACCAGCAGCTAATATAATGGAGAAGAGTGGTACATGAGATGTAGAAATGCTAACACAATGGTATCATGAGTTTCTTCCACCTTACTGTTACTAAAGGAGACATAGGACCATAATATCCACGAATATCTCACTTATAATTGTAGGTTGAGCTGAGAGTAGACCTCAGTGGAATTTGCGAAGACAGATATGTGTATATTAAATTGTGTTAGTGAACATAGTGCAAATCATGCTATGTATCTGTGTATGTCTGAAAAAGAGAGAGAGAGATGAATGGTGCTTTGGATATAGTATACTTTCATTTTTTAGTCCTTTTGTTTAGTTCTTAGTACTTTCAGGAAGGGACTGTAAAGAGTTCTATAGAAGATATTTGCATGAAGCAGTGAGGCTGAAGTTATTGGAATATGTTTTATAATCAGGGAAAGGAAAATATATATTTTAATTTATCAGTAGCACACTGAGTTTGTTTGGTTAATTTATATTTATGACATATTAAATAAATGCACGTTATATGAATAGTTGATGCATTGTATGTAGTGTGTGTTTTTTTCTTTACAAATAAGGAACGGGCTTGTTGCTTTTTGTTTGCAAACTCAGTGGATGTTGGAATCTGTTTTTCTTGCACAGTACATGAAAAACCATTGGAGACTGGATCTGTTTATTAAAAAAAAAAAACCCAAACCCCAGCATTTTGACCATATGGCATATGTCCTTGGAAAGAAATGCCATCAGAGCAAATGGAATGAACTGCTTTTGCAACCATATCCCCCTTTTGTGCTGAAATCATCCTTTGTAACATGATTAACACCTCTCTCTCTTTTTTCCATTTTGCAAACATGAAGATATATTGTTAACTTGTAGTTAAGCATTTTATTTCAGGGACTTTGTGTTTCTGTCCCAGATTAGGGCCAGAATTCTGTGGGGAGTTCCACACATGAAACACTTCTGATCTAAGAAATTGTTAAAAAAAACAGTTCAAGCCTATGAACCCCATCACTGTTGTTCATTCAAGGCTAAAATCACACATACTCTCTTTACTGGGCAGAAGCCATCAGATAATTATTTAGATCTCATGTTGGAGTGCTGACAGCCTGGCCTGGTTTTCTGGGTTTGCCAGCAGCTGGATGACGTACCCCAGATTATGAATCACTCCAATCCTGCCTGGGTTTTTTTTGGTCCAGCAGCAGAGCGGCTTTTTCTTTTTTTCTTTTATCAGTTTGGTGCAATTGAGATGGACAAAAGAATCGTCTAAGCGGTTCCTTTTAAGATTCCACCATACAGGCAACCTTTTCTGACATGATCCAGTGCAATGTTTATGTTATTGTCTGAACATCCCCTCATTCTGTGAAGAATATGGCCTATGAATTGTTCAAAAGCTGCAGTTCAACATAGGCTTTAAATGTTCTGAATTCACCTTCATGACCAGTATTCACCTAAAATCAGACCTTCCAGTCAATAAAACATCAGTGGGCCTTCATTCACAGAACCACATTTCTCTGGCCATCTTGTGTGTTGCTATGTACCACAAAGTCACTTTCAACTTATGGCAGCTGTAACAGACTTTTTGAGATAATGTGTGTAGGCATCCTTCAGTCTCAAGAGACTGTGGAAACATGATCTGAATAGAGGGAACAGCATCTAGTGTGGCTGAGAAGGCCAATTCGAGAGTGACGATCCATACCACACTGAAGACAAAGACAATCTGTCCCCTATCCAGCTCCCTAATTTTTCTGGTTTCGGGACTGCCTCTTTGCCTCGGCCTGCTGAACAATTCCCCACCGCCACCAGGGCAAGTGAAGAACCTGAACCCAGGTCTCTTGAGTCAACCCAAAATTCTGCCTGCTGCGCTACACTATTATGTGATTCGCAGACTCATTTTTGATTCTTTCGCCATGATAGCTGATTTAGGTGGAGTATGATCAGCACGAATCTCCAGGCCATGATTTGGCACTAAGACATGATTTTCAAACCATGGCTGGAGGTTAGTGAAATCTCCCAGTTTGGGCATCAAAACAAACTGATAATTGGAAAGCCAGAAATGAAAAAAGGGGTTGGTGGTGTGGAGGAGTTTGGTGCATAAAACCCAGTGTCACATCCTTAAATTTATGGTTAGGAGGTTAAAAAATTAACTAATTCTGAACTTAGCTGTGATGATTATGATCAAATACAAATTTCCAGTGATTTCTTACCACTTGATAAGATTGTGTTTTGGTTTATGTTTTGTACAAGGGATCCTAAATGTTGTGCCAGAAGTTTCTATTACAAGCGTTGTCTGCAGTGTGAACTGTAGGGATTAACATTATAAAAAATGCTTTTTTGCAAGCTTTATTGTTTGACACAATAAAGAATGAATCTTTAGGTGAAAAAAAGTACTGTAGAAATTGCACTAGGTTGCTGAAGCAGCCATTTATTTTTAGTCTTTTCCAACCAGTAGGTGTCTCTGCAAACAAAGTAACATTCAATTACTTAAGAACAATTCAGGAAATTGTCTGGTTAATTATCATGACTTGAAGCCACTAAGAAGTTTTTATAACCAGTGGGCTAAATTTGATTATGACAGAGGCATGGAAAGTGAAAATTTGATAAAATAATTGGCTTCTTTGAGACAACAACAAACTGATCATTTTATCACAATAATGCTGAAGAATTTTTCTCTGTAACAAGTAGCCTCCAAATTGTTTGATTAAGGGCAGCTTTCTCTGGGCTCATCAACAAGATGTGCATGTTTCAGATTAGGATGGGTTGGAACCATGATCCTCCCCACACCCGTACATCCAAAACCACTCAGTCCAAGCTTCTGTTCCTGTGGGTCAATTTTGTAAAACTGACTAATTTGTCAATTTCATCTGGATTCCAGGGAGACTTTCAGGGCAGGGAAAGAAAAAAAAACAACTGGCAACATCATTCATTCATTCATTCATTCATTCATTCATTCATTCATTCATTCATTTATTTATTTATTTATTTTCTAGTAACATAATTACAGAGAACTACTCTGGATGGCAACAAGAAGAATAGAAATAACCCACCCACAACATAAACTCATCATCATCATCATAGGCATCCTTCAGTCTCGAGAGACTATGGTAACATGCTCTGAATAGAGGACTTGGAACAGCGTCTATCTAGTGTGGCTGAGAAGGCCAGTTCGAGAGGGACAATCACTTCCACACTGAAGACAAATACAGTATGTCCCTTGTTCAGCTCCCTGATTTTGCTGGCTTTGGGACTGCCTCTTTGCCTCAGCCTGCTGGACAAGGGTCTCTTCAAAATGGGAGAGGCCTTGATGCAATGCCTGCCTCCAGGCTGAATGCTCAGATGCCAAAGTTTCCCATCTGTTGAGGTCCATTCCTAAGGCCTCAAATCCCACTTGCAGATATCCTTGTATCGCAGCTGTGGTTTCCCTCTGGGGTGTTTTCCTTGCACTAATTCTCCATACAGGAGATCTTTTGGAATCCATCAGCCATTCCCACGACATGTCCAAGCCAATGAAGACATCACTGTTTCAGTAATGTATACATGCTAACAATTCCAACTCGTTCCAGGACTACTCTGTTTGGAACTTTGTCCTGCCAGGTGATACCAGAAGTCCTGCCAGGTGATACCTGCCAGGTGATTCTGTCAGAGATAACGCTTATGGAACATGTTCAACTTACTCTCCTGTTGTGCACAAAGGGTCCAGGACTCACTGCAGTAGTGTACTCAAGACACAGGCTTGACTACTCTATTTGGAACTTTGTTCTGCCACGTGATACCAGACGTCCTGCCAGGTGA